AAAAGAGCATATAGGGGTTCTAAAAATGTTTCCAATAAGCTTCATGGACAAAATCAGCTTCTACTTGTGAAAAGCAAATTATGAAGATCAAGCCACAAGCAAAATGTTATTAAAGCTCTTCTGGAGGTCAGGAAAATGCCACAGGAACAGTTACACCAAGCTCAGAACTTTTTAAAAGTTCTTGAGTACAAAATGAAGAAATGCCAATTTTTATAAAAGAGATGACTTCCTATCAATAACACTCAACTATATAGGAAGAAGATGATCACTGTTATCAACAACTTCAACAAATATTTCAAACTCGCAAATGAAAGAGGCTTAAGAGATATATGTATGCTCATTACACATTAGGAAAAGACTGAATGTGCCCAAATGAGTAAGGTGAAATTTTGTTTTTGTGACAGGGTTTCATTGAAGCACAGGCTATTCTGAAACTTTTCATGTACCCCACACTAAGCTGGAACTCGATGAAATCCTCTGCTTTACTCAGTCTCCTGAGCCATATGCCTGCCATAAGTGAAATAAGGACTAATGTAACAGCTGGTAAACAGTACACAACACCTATATACAATTATTCCCCTACCCCTTTGATTGTTATTCATTCATTCATTTTGAATAAATGAATTAGCCCTGGCTGGTCTGGAACTCATTATATAGACCAGGTTGGTCTGGAACTCAGAGAGATCCACCTGCCTCTGCCTCCTGAGTGCTGGGATTAAAAGCGTGTGCCACCACACTGGGCCTCCCTACCCCTTTTTAAAACTCTGGAAGCTATTTTACTTTACCTAAGGAACTTTTTCCTTAGCCTGCCAATTCAGATGAATGGTTTTTTATACACTTTTTCTATTAATGCTGCAAATAACATATAATAATATTTAAACAACTCACCTATGATTTATCATTAGCTTTAAGTAACCAAAACCCTAATATAAGTGCATTACTTAAGTATCCATGTAGCAAAATTAGGGAAAATGCAATATAATCAATAAACTTAATTAACTAATTCTCACTATAAGAAATATGAAAGGGACACAGTTCTCCCTGGGAGACTGGGCAAGTGGCTAAGCATTTTTGTTTTGTTTTGTTTTTAATATATTATTTATTATTTTTATTTTATGTGTATGAGTATATTGCCTGCATGTATGAAAGTGCACCCATACTGTACAATGCTCAAGGAGATCAGAAGAGGGCATCAGATCACCTGAAACTGGAGTTACAGATGGTTGTTAGCTGCCATAGGGGTGCTGGGAATCAAACCCAGATTCTCTGCAAGAACAGCCATTGCTCTTAACCCCTGAACCATCTCTCCAGCCCCAGGTGTTAAGCACTGTTAAAACATTGTTAAAAAAAAAAAAAAATCATTATTAGAAGCAGGACGTCAATCCCAGCACTTGGGAGGCAGAAACAGGCGGATTTCTGTGAGTTCAAGGCCAGCCTGGTCTACACAGTGAGTTCCAGGACAGCTGGGGCTACAGGGAGACCCTGTCTCAAAAAGACCAATTAATTAATTAATTAATTAATTAAAATTTTGAAATGAACAAACAAGCAAAAAAAATCAATAAAACAAATCACTATTGATAAAAAGGTTTCCCTTCCAGCCCTCTTTTTACTTTTGGAGACAGAGTTTTCACTTAATTACCCAGGATGGCCCTGAATTCATTCTATAGCCCAAACTAGCCTTGAACTTGTAATTATTCTGCCCCAGGCCAGACTGATAAATTCTTTAAGTTCTAATTGTAAATACTACTTCTAATGTTTCATTTTCCAGTGAATAAACCAAAGTGCTGGCAGATCAGACTATATGATGTCCTAGCTGGCAGCTGTCGGACTGTTGCCCTGGCTGCCTTGAGCAAAAAGACCCTTGGTCAGTCAGCTGGACCACCCTTATGCCAACAGTGGCCATTATGAACACTCCACAGATGCCTTGAGAAAACTGCACAATGACTGCAACCGATTGCTCCAGCTCCTGAAGGTGCAGCCTCAGCCAGGACTATTTCAAACAATTTGTACTGACTTTGCTATCACAAGTCTCAGTGAACTGAAGATGACTCTCCAACCATTTCCACTTGGGTAGAAGATGAACAAGTCCCCTGACGGCCTAGGGGAGGGACTGATGTGACTGGTGCCAATGCTGTGATTGGTACAAGCAAAATCTTCATTTGCATATGCAAGATATGCTGTGATTAGTGCAAACACATCCTCCATCTCTGACCATATGAGCAGGCTGTTTGACTCACTTAGTGACTGGCAAGGAGACCACCCTGTTATATTTCCCCTAGTGTTGCAACTCTAAGGCCAATAAAAGGCTTCTTTCTAGCAGTCCTTTCTTGCTACTTTTAGCAAGGAGGGCTGAGCTGGTAACACAAAGAAGCAGCAGAGTCAGTAAAGCAGCAGGGCCCACAGATTGCAGGCCAAATGCAAAAGTGGCAAGGTAGTTGGCTGTCTGACAGCTAAGAGGAGGCAGCTGAAGAGTTTTTGAGAACTGCCAGGGCAGGAACAAGAGAGACAGTCGAAAGCACACAAAGAACAGAGCAGAGACTGAAGAATGACAGAGACTGCAAAAAGCCAAAAGAGAAACTATAGGCCCTGGTCAAGGGAAGATTTTTAAGAGTTGTCAAGTCTTAAAGACTGAAGGTCTCAGATGCCGCAGGGTCTAGGACTGTAAGACTGGCAGCTATCAAGGGCTGAGGAACCCCCACACCTAGGCAGACCCAGAAGCTGCAACACCAGCAGCTGCCAAGGGCTAAGGAATCCTAATGGCCTAGCTTAACTTTGTAGAGCTTTTGTAGTGCTGAGGAGCTAAAAGGCTAGAGGGCACCACCTGCTGCTGCAGCCTTACTGTCAAACAGGGTACAAAGGCTACTCAAGATCAGCACATAAAGCTCTTCTTATCTAGCTATGATTTCTATCAAGGTAAAACAAAAAGACCCCAGTCTGATAACAAGGGCATAAAGAAATTCAGTAGACGAGAAACAGATTCAGAAGACCGAGAATTTGCCTTAGGGCCTAGAGCAAATGGAAAAGGAGATGAAGGTAGGAAATCACCATTTTCAGGTACTCAAAACATTAATGTCTCTTAAGTTAGATATAAAAGCAACAACATAAAACTAAGCTGGCTGGCTTGTTTGCTTGGTTATGTTCTATAAATTCTAATTCATTTATATTACTGATTATTACTAGGTCAATTCAATTCTTGATTTTTCAACACTGGCTATGAAAGAGTAAAGAATTTCACTATAGTGTGCATCAAGCTCAAAATACAAAAATTGGGGCTGGAGAGATGGCTCAGACATTAAGAACACTGACTGCTCTTGCAGAGGACCCGGGTTTGATTCCCAACACCCACATGGCAGCTATGAACCATCCTTAACTCCAGTTCCAGGGGAATCCGAAGCCTTCTTCTGACCTCTGCAGCATTGCACAACACGGGTGCACTCACATACATGCAGGCAATACACTGATCCTGAGGGCATAGACAGTAAGAGAGAAGGAGACTATCTGTAACTTAATAGTGAAGCTTTTGGAGGGCTGGAGAGATGGCTCAATGGTTAAGAGCACTGGCTGCTCTTGCAGAGGACCTGGGTTCAGTTCCCAGCACCCACAGGCAGCTGACAGCTGTTTATAACTCCAGTTCCAGGGGATCCAACACCTTCTTCTGACCTCCATGGCACTGTATACATGTGGTGCACTTATATACATGCAGGCAAAATACTCATAAAAATAAACAAAAAAATTTTTTTAATAGTGCAGCTCCCCCCCTTCCTAGGTGGGATTCTGTGTCCTAAACACTGATTGTCCAAATCCCATTGTCTACAGCTTCATTCTGTTATT